ATAATAATAATTATTATTATTATTATTATTATCATATTTTTTATTATTATTATCATTTTACAACAACTTCCGCTATGAACGAAAGTTTTGATAAAGTGAAACTGTATCTTATATTAGTAAAAAAACACATGTACAGGTGATTATTGAAAATCTCACGCGCCGATTGGTCGAGAAACTCACAGTATCACACGATAATCACCTTCAGCGATAATCGAAATTGGCGGCCAGCCACTTTGTTGCTATTACAGGAGAGGAATTAGAAATAATGAAAGAAAATGCTGTCCCTAAAAGCACTAAAGAGGAAAACAAATTTGCACTAACTTTGTTCAAAGGTAAATAAGGACTTAAAACAATCAAATAAGCTCAAACTAACTGTTTTGGTTCGCAAAGTCGGAGTTCGCCCTGTATTGTAATTGAAAGCCGCGCTCGTCACTTCAATTTAAATTTTTCCTAGTTTTAAATGTGTCTTTTATCTTCTTCCCCCCCCCCCCTTTTTTTGAAAGAATCATCTGTGTATTTATACTAAGACGATTATTTCCCTCAGGCTCAGTGAATATTGGAAAATGTTTTCCTCGCCGCTCGAAGACTCGCGTCAAGGTAAATATTCCCCGATATTCACTTCGCCTTCGGCGAATAATTGTTAAACATTAGCTTCCAGCTATTGTATTAAGACCTCGTTACTATTTTTACTTTCAGTCGATCGGGTTCAATTTCGTGATGATCTCTTCTGTCGAGCCATAAACCCTGCCTTCCCTTTTCGTTTTGCTGTATCGATTCATTAGTATTCACTTCGTTTCAGTAAATATGTCAATTCCACTACTCAATAACAATAAAATAATAAAATGAGTCAAAAAAAAAAATGATGACTGAGGACTTGAACTTGGCACATAAACCTTGAAATAACACTTTCATTGTTTTATAATATGATTAATTTATATTAAGAAACTTGATTTTATTACTTTACTTTGCATCTCATATAATATATCTAAAAATTTTTGGGTCCCTTCCCAGGATTCTAGAATACGAAATTTGATTGGTTGTTTTTTGTGTCAAGCGCAGCCTTGGCTAACAACTACATAAAATACTGCTGTAAATATTGTAATATTAGATCACGTGCTTTTATTAAACAATTGACTTTTAGGGGCTTTAATATCTAAACCAATGAGTTTACGTTGAATGTTCACGTCCAATAGAGGCTGATCACATGTTCATATATCAACGGAGCCAGTTTTCGTCGAGCTCAGTAAGTGGAAATCCTCAAGGACATGGAGAGGTTACAATTTGCTTGCTTTTTAGTCGTCGGGCTTGTTTTCATGCTAAACCCATTCCAAGGTCAGTAAAATTAATTTTTAATATTCATTAGTTCATGTACTCAATAACCCTGTTAATCTTTTATCGATGAATGTTTGTCATACACTTTAAAAGATCAATAAAACGACTTTCATTAACCGCTTCCCGTTTTCAAATTGCTTATAGCAATTTATATATTATATATATATATGTATATATATTAATCGTAGTCCAGACAACCGAAAAGCAAGCAACGTAAATTTTCTCTACTTAATGTGGTTGAAAGGCTATTAACATATTTTAAAGTTGATTTTCCGCTTATTGATTTGTCGAAAAAAGAAATAATTACAAAGAAAAAAGAAAAAAAACAACAATAACAACTGGAAGGGAGAAAAAATGTGAACTTAAAGACTAAACAAACAATGCTGTTTTTAAATCAATAATGTTTATAGACATTTTAAAAATATTTTTGCGCGACATTTGAACATTTGGTATTTGAAAACGAAAGAATACATGAATACATGAATACTTTATACATTCGTTTCAAATTGTATCCATAAAGAATTCATTTTTTAAACAAAATTTAATTTCACAAAAATTTGAGCATTGCAGTAGTATATTTTCGCCGTTTTTGTTTTCAGTTATACAAGTTATGAGCAAATTTGCATTTTCAATAACAAAAAGTTGGTCTTACGAAGTTTCTGTTTTCTTGCCTAAACAATAACGGTCGTTTTTGCTCAGCTTTCGAAAGAACAAAAATCCTAATAAATGAATAAAAAGCATATTAAAAAAAAAAAAGCAAAGCTTGTAAGCCAGTTAGCAAATATATATTATTTCCTTTACCGTGAATCTTATTTGTATGTTTTCATTTCTTACTTCTATTTTACATTTCGTGCGGACCACATACATTTTCTAATAGCCAGTAAAGCTTTTTTTCATATACAATGATAATTTCTTACCACCATTGCATACATTATTGCATACATATCACTTTCCATCGCTATGGCGAGCACATTCAATTGTTTGCCATAAATTTCTGAATAAACATATTTAAATTAAATAAACCGCTAAATAAGCTTTGAAAGGCATATTATAATATATACATATATGTTGTTTTTGATTTGTTTTGTTTTGTTTTTGTTTGATTGTTTTTTCTTTTTCTTTTATTTCTTTTGTTTGTTTGTTTGTTTGTTTTTTTTTGTTTTTTTGTTTTTTGTTTTTTGTTTTTTTTTGTTTGTTTCTTTTGTTTTTGTTTTTGTTGATTTGTTGTTTTCTCATTGTTTCGTTTTGTTTTGTTTTGTTTGTGTTTTTACGATGCAATAAAAAAATGAGTACATTATATAAATCTCCAATGCAAAGATTTAAAACGACTTACTTTAGTCCATTCGTAAAACTCAATATTTCCAGTCACGTGCTAGTTACTCCGGTGTTGGTTTACATCAGGCGTCGCTGCTTCGGCCTTTACACTTCTATTTAGTCATGAAAAATCTCCTTTTTCTGTCTCTTGACCAGCAATGGCCATTTTGTCGTTCCTTTCTGTGAATATGGACCTGTTAAAACGCCTTTGGTGTACAATATTCACTATTTTCCATACATTGGTTCACTGGTCAAACACAAAGCGCTCAAACAAGGCGCATAGATATTTTCAAAGGATTATTCAAATTTGAACCTTGCAACCTCGACTGAATGCTTTGGGTTTGACAAGTGAACCGATGTATGGAAAATGGTGAATAGAAATCCATTCGCTATCCACAAATTTTACCAATTTGGCCATTATCATTATCGTTCCGGATCCCAGCAACTGTAATTGGTTTAAATGCAATATTTCTCTCCTTGTCGGGTACGAGCTGTATATTTATCTTAATATAATGCATGTGCAAAATAGTCTGGTTTCTGAAATATCTTGCATTTTCGTTCTGTGGTGGCTAGCTAACCTCCAAATAACAAACAAACAAACGAACTGAACAAAAACGAACACCAATCAATATTCCCCTTCACAATAGCTCACTTCCAAGAAATGTTTCCCACCTGACATAAGTTTTAGTGTGAGGCTATGTGCTACATTAAATTTATGACTAAAGGTTATTCAAGAATCAATGAGTATTTATGCAAAGCCTCGCTATATCTCGATAGAGGGCTATCCCCTGCTCCATATTGAAAGTTAACAGTACATATAACCGAATCAAGAACTTTGCCGCTTAACTTGCTTTGATGGCGCAGGGAATTGGGAAGAGGATTATCAAACAAAGAAGTAAATATGATAGACTTGTTAACGTTATTTCCTGTATTCTTTTCATTTGCACTAGCAGTTCAACCAATTAAAAGACTCCGAAGACCCGGACCACAGATTGTAGGATATCAAGGAAAGGCAGTTAACTTTACTTGGGCATTTTCCAATCTTTCTGGCGTCGAATACATATATTTTGAAACGTGGGATACCGAAAATATATATTGGAAAGATATGCTGATTATTCTTACCCAAAAGTCCGATGGCAGTTTCGATGAAAGTATTAGTGATGTTAAAGATTATAAAGGACGTGTGAGATGGGTCGGAAATGCATCAAAAGGGCTGGCTTCCTTCGAACTGTCTGATGTAAGACAGTCGGATAAAGGAACCTATGCATTAGAGGTAGGGAGATTGTTGCTTCTTTTTAAGTTTCTCTTGATTTTCTATCTTTTTTATTTTCATTGTTTTAGTGATGATTGATTTATGATTGATATAGCGCCTCTTCTATATGCTTATAATCAAAAGCGCTTTACATTTAGTTAATGTCAGATTACGCTTTAGCGGATGAGGGTGGTCACTGCCAGGGTTTCTTTACGAGCTCAGTAGATTAATTTACTACGTCTCTCCGATTAGTAATAACAGAATGTTGAGAGACGGGACCGCCATTAAAAGTGGTCATCAGAGCCACTTGAAAGTATAACCATTTGAAGATGTAATTACAAAGGCAGTACTTTCTTCTCAGTTATTCTTAGACCTTGATTGTTGGTCCAGTCAAGACTCGGTCCACGACCTCCTGCACGAAAGTCCGATGATCAACCAACAGTGCCAACCAGTTGGCGGTTTTACTTTTCATTTATTTCTCTCTATCTCTTTCTTCTTCTTTTTCTCCGTACTTCCTTCCTTTTTAAAAGAATCTGTTTAAGTAACGTAAGATTATTCAAGCGTCTAGGTCTTTGCTATATATATTTGGATATATTAATACGACCATCATTCTTGTTTGTTGCAGATTATGTACATAGGGGGTGTATTCCAATTCGATGATAAAACGGAACTTGTCGTTAAGGTATTTGAACAACCTGATCCCATCATTTGATAAGCCACTATTAAACAATAACCAATAAACCAACCATCCCATGCACCTACTAACCGACCAACAAAAAAGCTAAACACTTCACATATCTTAATCCCCCCTCGGCATTTTAATCGAACTTTCCGTTAATGAAACTCAAAAGTTATACTTCGTGAGTTTTTTCTTAACAGATGCCATCGCACTTCACATCTACTTGTGACAATATGTCACATAATCGTGGTAAACAAGCTACATTCAGATGGAGTTACAGATTAACAAATACCGATACAAAAGCTTTGTCTCGAATCGTATTTGGAGTTTACAGAGGAGAAACCTACAAACCTATTTGTGTTGTTCAGGTAACGTAATTTAAAATAAAAATATAATAAGATAAAGAAAAAATGGGAGTAATGAAAAAAAAAAATTTAAATAATTGAAGAAAAAAGAGGAATGCAATAAATCAAAGTGAAAGAACAAGGCAGGAAGAAAGCATGCACTAAAGTAAGGAAGTAACAACAAAATTTGGAAGTAAAAGCAAAATTTGAACACGTTTAACCCTGATTTCCAAAACAAAAGTTGACTAATCTTTACTCCTGTTGACTCAGGTGACGAATGGCCATGCCACAAATTTCAACTGTTCAACGGGTGTGCGAGAAAAAGGTGGCCAAATCATTGCTATTACACCTACAAGTACAGCAACCTTTGTACTTAGTAGTATCGATCTGGAAGATGAGGCCGTGTATTCTATTCGACTCTGCTGGACATTGGGAAATATAGAATGTAAAAAACGTCTAATTGTGACTGGTAATTATATCAAATTATGTATTAGTGAACCATCGTTTACTATTTCTTTTTTTTCTTTCATTGACAATTTTTTTTAGTTTTATACTACTTTTGACCCAATTTTGACCTAAAATTCAATTATTTATCAAATTAGTTCCACCTGAGTTTGTTGAAAAGCCTAAAAGTACTGCTACCCTAGAGGACAGTGCTCTGAAGTTAACCTGTGCAGTTAAAGGGAAACCCCGGCCAACAATAAAATGGTTCAAAGACAACGACACATTGGAGATAAACTCCACCGAATATTTTACCATACCTGAAACAACGAGAGGAGACGCTGGACATTACCAATGCGTTGCAGAAAACAAAGTAGGAAGGATAGTATCCGAGCCTAAAGCCATAGTAGACGTGCAGTGTAAGCTTAAATGTATTTACTTATGTACTAAGATCAGGAATGTAGGACATTGAAAACTTAAAAACATTCATCAAATAAAAATATGTTATCGGATCATTTTGTTTAAAAAGCCTTACAAGTTCAAACGCTATCAGTGATTTGATCTACTAATTTTGCAACTTTTAACCTACAGATCCACCAGTCATCAATTCCTCAAAGAAAATCAACATAATTCCTGTGCCAATCGGAACAGACRTGTGGCTTTCCTGYCGYACTGTAGCAAATCCTCCAGCATCTGTYCKGTGGTTTGCCARTGGAATTCTAGTGAAACGCAACGCCGAGGTTTTCCACTTAAAAGTTTCCAGTTCTTTTGATTATGCGAACTACACTTGTGTTGCTAATAATCCATTTGGTCAAGACAATAAAACTTTTGTCTTAACACAAGTTGGTAGGTAGTTTATTGTCCCTAGAATATACATTTTTTTTAGATTATGAGCATGCGCAGTCGTTTTTACTTGTCTTCATAATTATATGTTCAAATTATGCAAAATGCCGACGTTATCATTTAAGATTCGGTTAACGTAAATTTAAAATGTTCATTTTTAAAGGACCACCTCTGAATCCACTAGTGGACTGTGATACAAAGGGTGACGCCAGCCTTGGTCGTACGTTTATGTTTCATTGGAGTTCACCCAAGTACGATGGAGGATCCTCTGTATTCATGTACACCATCAAACACCGCTCCTTTGTCAAGGCGTCACAAAGAAATACACAGGCCTGGAAGAGTATAAATGTTACACACAAGACAACCTGGCACAAGTTTAGGCTTGAATGGCAAAGGACCTTCGAGTTTACGATCACGGCCTGGAATACTTATGGGGAGAGCACACTCGATACTGATAACACGTGCCTTATTACAGTTGGCAAAGGTAAATAGCATTTACGATATCTGGGAATTCCCCAGAATAACGTAATAGTAACATGTGCATAATCAGGATGGAGTGTGCAGTAATCTTACCTTCGTGATCTGCACATAAAAAGCTAAAAAAATTTCCCTATATCGTTCTAGATCCCGCCAATTATGAAACAACAAAAATGCCAAATCATGATATCGTATCAGGTAGGACTTATGTTACACAAAGGGGAAAACTATTCTTAAAAAAAAACGTCTAAAATTACCTTCGTGATCTGCACATAAAAAGCTAAAAAAATTTCCCTATATCGTTCTAGATCCCGCCAATTATGAAACAACAAAAATGCCAACACATTATATCGTATCAGGTAGGACTTATGTTACACAAAGGGGAAAACTATTCTTTAAAAAAAACGTCTAAAATTAAACCAATTAATTAACTACTGTTACTTTATTTTTTTATATCCCATTTACGTGCAAAATTTATTGCAAAGCTGCCGCAAAGAAAAATTCAAGCAATCTCAAGCCAATAAAGAACTTATGGCTGTATGTTGGTGTTGGTGCTGGAGTGCTGGGGTTGGTAATCATAGTCTTGCTTCTAAACTCGTTCCGCAGAAAAAGAAAATCTAAAACTAGTAAGTAATAAAGATTTTTTTTTTTTCTCCATTAATGGTGTTTAAAAACACATTTAGGCACATTTATCAGATGTGGGTATTCTAAAAGTTTTGAAGTTCATACTTGTGATTTGCAAAAGAAGGTACTGTTGTATGGCTTTAGATTGGTTTTTAAATTAAGATAACAATCCAATATGAAAATGCAAACGTTGTATATATTTTTTCACTGTATGTAAGTATTGCCCCTTTTTAATTTGTCCTTTTTCTTGATTTTCAGATAACTTGCATGGTCCCCACAAAAGGTAACTGAACTTCAAGACTCATATTATAAATCATATTCATATCAACATCCTTGTCATCGACATTATCGTCATTAACAACATCTTCAATATCCTTATATCATCATCATCATCGTCATGATGGTGATGTTCATCGCTGCTTGAGTAGACCTTGGAACTTTTAAGGACATTGGAAAGAACGAGATATAATCAAATTTAATAATTCAATATTAATAAAATACATATAAAGAGTGGTTAGGATAAACGACAAGAGCACTGAATGTATTTAATCATTTTATTAAGCTATGCAAAATCCTCTTTCTTAGTTTCGAAGCATTGGCAATGGAAAGCAACATGCTTGAAGGTGCCTCAGTCAATGGTCATTTGCTTCAAACAGTTCCACAGTTTGGTACCATCAGGAAGCAGTCAATGGTGGGAAGCCCTCGCTACCAAATGGATCCTGAATGGTACATTCCACGAGAAAAAATATGCATTCTGAAGGTGAGTAAATTTCATGATTATTTATCCTTCATTATCCTGAGTTATTCATGTTAAAGTTAAGACTCATCAGTGAATTTGAAAATAATATTCACGCGAGCAAGGTCGTCTTGGACAATAAAACATGCCTTTTTGTTCATGTACGTATGATCAATAGGACAACATAATCCACCTGGACATCTATCCAGCATTTACCCATCCATTAATCATGACCATTTTTTGCATTCTTTTACCTGTTCACTCCTTTATTTGTTTATTCCTCTTTGTATGATTGATTTTTTTGGTATTTTCTTTTCTGTTGGCAGGTTATTGGTAATGGGGCATTTGGTCTTGTCTACAAGGGACGTGTGCATGGTTTTGGACCAAACACTCTAGGGTGGAACCTAGTGGCTATTAAGAGCCCTTACGGTCAGTATTCAGAATATATCAAATAACCAAGAATAGTTTTATTAACAGTTTGTTGATCAAATTCAGCTGATGCATCTGATGCTGAGGTGAAAGATTTGATGAAAGAATTTGAGCTCATGAAAACATTGAGACCACACCCACACGTGATAAAGTTGCTGGGATGCGGGGAAGACGAAGGTACGAAGCATTTAAAAGAAATTAATATAATTGAGTATGAAGTGAAATGTTTGATATTTTTGTAATCCTGGTATAGTATTTGGTAGGTTCATACAGATTCGAAATTAATTCAACACTAAGCAACACTAAGCTGAGGCCAAATAATTGCTTATTTACGTCGCGTGGGAAATCGAAATGAAATCCCAAGTCTTGATGGAATTTAACATTTGAAACAAACAAAAAATCAACAGGTCGCCCATTGGTGGTTATTGAGTACGTACCGTTTGGTGATCTCTTGGGATATCTGAGAAAGAGCAGAGGAGAGAACGATGACTACTATTCTGATCCAGAAATCAAGCCCAACACAAATCTGACATCTCAACAGCTCCTTCGTTTTGCCTGGCATACTGCTGATGGCATGGCTTACCTTGCCTCTCAAAAGGTATGCCTCAGGAACAACCCGATGTCCATCCGCCCCATCCCTCCAATCTACTTTCCAAAGAGGAATAGCCCATCCCCAAGCAATTTGTCTATCTGAAGTCGTGAAACTTGTGCTACAAACCCCACTCCTTCCTTCAAATCTGCCATTTCTAGTCGTGTATTTTTCCTCCCTCTCTTCTTAGTTTGGCTATGGTAACGATGACATTGCTTTACATTCTAGATCCTTCATCGTGACCTTGCAGCGCGTAATGTTCTTGTTGGTGATGGCCTGTCCTGTAAGATCACAGACTTTGGAATGGCGAAAGATGTCAGCAACGACGATATCTATATTCGATCAACAGAGGTATCATTCGATGAACAATATTGATTAATTTTTTTATATGTTGTTTTTATGGTTGTTTATTTTTGTTTACTTTTGTTTAGTTATTTATTGTTTGTTTGTTCTATTGTTGTTGCTGCTTTCTTAATTACTTATCGTTTTACTTTATTATTCAAAATATCGTAGGGGCGTTTGCCAGTGAAGTGGACAGCCATCGAGGCATTGACCGGTGGTGGAGAGTACACCACACAAAGCGATGTGTAAGTGGTTCATCTATCTAAACAAAACCTTCTCGTTGAAAGATCTGAAATCTGAATACTGAGACTGAGAAGCACGCTGCAAATTGTGATGTATTCACAGCCAATCAACTTACTAGTGTCCTTTTAGATTACAAATTAAGCGAGGTAGGAATATAAGTTTTCGTATTTTAACCAGAAAATATTAAAGCACCAAAATACCGTTTAGTCTCAGATCGCCCATAGCTCTGCTGGACAACGCTTTTTGAAACAGATACATACCTGGACAAACGTATCATTGGAGATATATTAATTTATAACAAGATATTTTTGTCATTAGTTTACACTGATACCATTGTATTATGCTACTAGTGTTGATTCGTTATTACAAAGTCATCGAGTCTTACTTCGTTCAAATCGTAATGTTTTGCTCTATTTTAATTACCAGTTTATATAATTACTTAATACTTAATATAATTACCACATTCTTATGATTAATTCAAAATGATATATTTACTACTTTTAGCTGGAGTTTTGGAGTTGTTCTTTACGAAATATGCACAATAGGTAAGTTGTTTTAGGCAAATTCATATCTATGTAAGAATTAAAGTCAATGCATCCTGCAGGAGATTGAAATTATTTTCTCTTTGTCCTCCAAATTGAGCTGCTTTGACCATGAATACGTACAAGTAATTAGTATCATAATTTCCTGACCAGGTCCACAGAATAGCTCTTCTTCAAACACTAAAGAAAGCATGAAAATTAGAGTGAATATGAGCAATGAATGCAATCACTGTTTTGTAATCTATTAAAAGTGCAAACAATGCTCCACAATAGAATAAATACTGAAGAAGGAGCAGATGACTACTTTAAAATGTCAAACTTTAAGGGAGAGAAGGTGGAAAGAAAACATAAATAACGCCGAGAAAAAAAACTAAAACAGCCTTTTTGTTCATTCAAAATAAGTCAATGAGGTCACCATCCTGATATGGTACACTCTACTCGTGCGACTGTTGACGTCACCGATTATGCAACTATACATGTGTCCTGTCTACTTTTATACCAATTGTTATTACGCATGGTTGCACATTGAGTAGTCAGTAACTTTATAAATGCCTATCAGAAGGTAATTACAACTTACTGTTGTATTCATATAGGAGCTGAGCCTTTCCCAGGAGTTGCCGCTAAGGAAATACCACAACACGTTGAGACAGGATATCGAATGAAACGACCTGGCCACGTAGATCCTGATCTGTAAGTTCTGTGAAAAGAAATGAAAGAAAAAGTATTCAAAAAAATCAACTCTAAAATAATATAATGTTATTTTTTGTTAGCTATGACGTAATGATGAGCTGTTGGGAGACTAACCCTGATGACAGACCAACATTCCCAGAGTTGAAGGAAACACTCATGAAGCTGGAAGAAGTTCAGTCGAGGGTAATTTTTATTTTCGCAAGTTTATTTCATATGCGTGATTTTGTTTTTGATGACGTTGATGATGGTGAATAATGATGGTGAAAATAAGATGATGGGGTAAAATTATGGTGGTGTAAAATATGTTATATTAATTTGCAGCTGCATAAGTTGCTT